CCATATCCAAGACAACAAAGTCTCCTGGAATATAGTATTTATCGATCTTCACAGGAACATCTTCAAGAATGCCGATTGGGTATTTGACAGAGCGATCGGCCAATTGTAACGCCATTGTTGTCGGTTTTGGATCACCCAAGTGTAGCTTTTGACATAGAGAGTATGGAATCAAGCTAACACTTGCTCCAAGATCACAAAGAGCTTTGTTTACTTTAGATCCTCCGATGTAGCATGGAATTGAAAAGCTTCCAGGATCACGTAGTTTTGGTGTTATCTTATTTTGGATAATGGCACTGCACTCTTGACTCATGGCCACCGTGAGAGGATTTTCCTTCTTCTTTGTTAAGATCTCCTTGAGAAATTTGGCATAAGAAGGAATTTCGGTGATGGCATCAAGCAAAGGAATAGAGATATCCAATTGCTTGATACGGTTCAAGAACTTGGTTCTTCGTTCCTCAATATGTGATTTCTTGAGTCGGTTTGGAAAAGGAATTGGTGGAGCATATTTCCTTACCAACCCTTCATCTTCTTTCTTCTTTCCTTCTTTGATCTGAACTGACTCCGACAGCATTTCAGCAGCATCTCCTTTGACTTTGTTCTGAGGTTCTTCTTTGGCATCCTCCCTTATTTCTTCATCGGGCTCACTACTCGGAAGAGATGGAGATTGAAGTTGTTTCCCACTCCGAGTAGTGATAGCATTCATTTGTTCTCTTGGATTCTCAGGACAAGCTGGCAATTTTCCGGTCACCTTTGTTGAGGATGTTGATGCTTGACTAGAGATTTGATTTTCAAGCATCCTATTGTGAGCTCGAAGTTGAGTAAGCTCTTCAGAAATCTTCTTCAATGTTTCGGATTGGGCTAGTTGAGATTTGAGTAGCTGATCAACAATATTATCCAAGCCGGGAGCTGATGTTGTTTCAGGAGTTGGTAGGATCGGCTTTTGTTGATTGGAAACATAGGGGAAGCTTTGGTTTTGCTTAAACTGTTGATTGTTAGCAAAACCTTGGCCACCTCTAAATTGTTGTTGCTGTTGATTTTGAAAGCCGGGTGGTGAACTCCGATAAGCTTGTTGATTGGCAGCTCCACTCGGATTGCTCCAAGAGAAACCAGGATGATTTCTGTTTTGAGAACTAAATCCGCCAAATGGATTTTGTTGTTGCTGCGGCCGGTTGTAGTTGACATAATCAACTTGCTCCATTGCATCCCATGGACATGTGGATTGATCATGTTGTCCACCACAGGATACACACATGAGAACAGGAACAGGAGGCGGTGTTGGTGTAGTGTTTTGCACAGCAGAGACTTGAGCAATCTTTTGGATCATGCTCATCATGCTATCGACCTTAGCAGCCATGGCCGACATTTGATCAACTTCGTACATGCCTCCAATTTTCGGTTGAGTGGATGGACGGTCAGAGTACCAGGTGGATCCGTTTGTTGAGATCCGCTCAATGAGTTCTTCAGCTTCGTCAAGTTCAAGGCTCATGAATGATCCACCCGCCGAGGCATCCAACAATATCCGTGAGTTCTCGTTTAGGCCTTCATAGAAAGCCGTCATTAAGTGCCAGGACTGGATATTGTGATGTGGGCATTGCCTTTGAAGATCTTTGAATCTTTCCCAAGCCTCGTAAAGGGGCTCATTTTGATTTTGCTTGAAATTTTGTATCATCCGCCTGATTTTCGCTGTTTTGGAAGGCGGGAAGAACCTTTTGAGAAATTCTCCGTGAAGCTGGTCCCAAGTTGTGAAGTGATTGTCCGGAAATGAATCCAGCCAGCTTTGAGCTCTGTCCCTGAGAGAGAATGGGAACAGACGGAGCCTGATTGCATCAGTTGGCACACCATTGATCTTGAACGTGTTGCATGCTCGGAGGAATTTGGTGATATGGTTGTGTGGGTCCTCCGTTGGTCCTCCACCAAACTGATCAGATGAGACCATGTGGATGACAGCAGGTTTGATTTCGAAGTTGTTTGCTGTGACATCTGGCGGAATAATGCTGTTGTGTTCCGCCACAGGAGGAGTGACATAGTCAGAAAGAGTCCTCCTGTTCGGAACTTCATTTTGTCTTCTCTGAATTCCCTGCACATTTTCAAGAACATTGTTCCGTGGGACTTCCATTTTTTTTCTTTTTCTTATTTCTTTCAAATATTTTTCAATTTCTGGAAAGAAAAATTTTTCTTGATTAATCCCACGGGAACGAGTTAGCATAAAAAGAAAGGGATTGGGGAGGTTTAGAGAGAGAGAGGGACAAGGGGAAAGGGAAATAGAAGGAAAAATAAAAAAAAA